TATTGACGAACATCTATAAAATTTACCCAAGACAATAAATAAAGTAATACTAATATCAAATACTTATTATATTGCTGAAATTTCACTATTAATTGCCAGAAAATTATTGAAAAACATCTATAAAATTTACTTCAAACAACAAATCTGATCATACTAATATCAAAGGGATTAATCACAATAGTTTATAGTTTAAATTCTAAAAAGAATACAAAATGTGCATAGAATAGTTAGATTCAATGCAAAAACATATAAAACATAGTAATATTACATACATCTTAGTTACCGCTGCTGGATCTACTCACTGTGAGAAGCAAAATGTTAGAGTGATTCGAAGGAAAGAATGGAGGAAAGGAAACTGTTGTCGGAAGAGGAAGACGAAAATGAGAGGGGAAGAGGGGGTTCGGCAGGGAAGATGAGCAAGGACCAACCTTACCGACGAGGTTCACGTTGCAAACTGAAAAGCTGATCACCTCCTGCACTGCATCAGACTTCTGCTTGACCAGCGCCATTACCGAGAAGATGTGGTTGCAAAAACCAGTTATAGACGTGAATCCTGTCTGCATATGGAGAAAAAAGCTGCAAAACAAGACTTCAGCAGCAGGGTTTCGAAAACCGTGCTGAACTTACCGAGAAGGTGGAGGTTGCAGGATTCTCCATTTACCGACGCGAGCTTCGTCGGTAATCAGGTGGGACCTTACCGAGAAGATGACTATTGCATGGAAGGATTACCACCGGGGTAAAACATAATGAAGGGAATCTGAAAAAGGAGGGTTTGTTGGTCATCAATATCTGATGGAGATATTGACTCTCGCGGTGTTGTTTTTGCAGGGGTGACTAGCTCTGGTTCCTGACGTTCAAGGAGAAAAATGGTGATGGGCCATTTTTTATGATATAAGCAAATGTTTACTTGAAAGCTGGCGTTCGTTCTAGCTTCTGGGCCCTTTGGTGGATACACATGGAAGAAGGACTGGGGACAGGTAGATAAAGAATCTGACCTCTTTTGTTTGGAGAGAGATAAGATGGGTGAGTGGGATTAGATATTTAAAGGGTATAGAAATATTATAAAACTAGCTTGTCACCATTGATATAATCATTGATTTAACTATTA